TGTAAACACCGAAAGACAGCATTCAAGACTAGGAAAATGATTGTCCTGCTGTATGATTGTCCTAGGGTATTATGTTCAATTCTGGACTCCACATTTCACGAAGAACAATGAGAAGCTGGACAGTATCCAGGGGAGGATTAACTGGGATGGTAAAGGGTCTCTGGGTTCATGACACATGAAAGAATCCAGTTCAAGCCATTTGAAAGAACTGGGATGTTTAACCTGAAGAAGAGAAGACTTACAGGGGATATGATAACAGTTTTCAACTACTTGAATGGCTGTTACAAGCAAAGTGTGGGTCACCATTTGTAAGTCATTCAATTCTATTGAATAAGCATTTATTAGACACTTCCCATATGCATACACTGTTCTAGGTTCTGGGAATAAAAAAGAAAAAAGAAAAAGTCTCTGCCCTCAAGGAACTTACATTTTATCAAAGGAAATAACATGTATGATTGAAAAATAAATACAAGGTAATTTGGGGTGGGAGAAGGTACTAGCAGCTAGTGAGAGGTGAATATCAGAAAAGGCCTCATGTGGCTGGAAAGAAGGTAGGGTGAACATTTATGACTTTAATGAGAATAAACTCTTCAAGCACTTTTAAAACAACTACTTACAAATAACTGATATGCTAACTTCTCCACTAAAGTCCCACTTTATACCATATTTTGTAGTGAGATTACTCTGGGTTCTTCAATATCTATTTAGGAAGCCTAGTAAACTCTAGTACTAAGTAAAGTTTGCAGTACTACCTTCTGACATTTAAGGACCAGCATAGCCCATCACAACTCATCAACTACCAGCAGAGGAAGGGGCCATATGCATGAAACCACAAATATTTAAATTGTTAAAGTAACAGACTGATTAATAATTCTACAACAGATTGTCCTGATCCAATTAATCTGTTGTTTTTATCTTCTATCATGGCAAGCTAATCATATTTTTTTTTCCTTATGAGACCATGCTTATCACTTTTCCTGTTACTTCATGAATAAATAAATTCTATAATGCACATATTTATCAATCAGCTGAGTCACTGTCCAAATTATTCCCAACAATGCAGTGAAAGAGGATAATCCTTTCTATGTATCACTGCTCTCCATGCTTCATGGCTGTGACTTTTTCTGACTAGACAATAAGAGTACTGAGATCCCTCCTGCTTCTTGTACCATTCTTGGCTCCAGGTCTGAGACACTGCTTATGTGCTCTCCACATGGATGTTATAAAATCCAAATGCCTATGGATGATCCTGTTGTCTGCAACATAGCAGGATGATGGCTGTGCTAAAAAAAAAAATTGGTTTTCTTCCTAAAAGTAGTATTCTTGGCCTTACGGGAAGAGGTAGGTAAAGGACAACTATGGCATAAGATATAGTAGGTCACTCTTTCCTACCTTGTGCCATCTCCCCAACTCCTCCAAAAAGCCAAAGAAATTTAGGCCTTTTTTTGTGCTATTAAGTGTCATATAAATATTAGTTATTATTATGTCAGGAGGAGGGGAAAATCTTGCTTTTAATTCTCCCCATTAAATTATATTCAGTCATCTCTTTTCTCCCCCTTGAAATCCACAGTTGATGGAAATGGGACTAAATAATAGCATTGAATTTTTTTCCTATTTCTTAGATGCACTCCCTAGATGATCACAGACATGAAACTGAAAATCTTTCTACATGGCTGCATCTCCTTCCCTCCAAATTTACATCAAATGTTTCTTTCATTATATATATTAAACTGTTTTCCTTTAAAGATTCCCCAAATTTGGATGAATTTTGCCCATATGTTCTTTGTCTTTTTATACTTTATGAGGCTACAGTAAGCACAATAGAGAATTTTAAATACCTTTCCCTCATGAATTTCAGAACACGGAAATCATTAAAGTTTTTAATAATAGCTAACATTTAAATAGCATCTCAAACTTTGCAAAGAGCTTTAATGGCAGTAACTTATGTGACAGTATTGTAATATAAATGTATAATATATATAAACGTAATACCTTAATGACTGAAAAATGATGTTCTGCTAATGTATCTGTAATCCAAAATAATGCAAACCAAATTCAGTTTGACCAAGATGTATAATTCTTTACCTTTCAATAATTTCTCTATAGGCAGTAGTATCTTTGAAATACAGTCATATGCTATACAAGTTGCTCTAATCATCATCATTCAGAGGTACATTAACATAAATCCCAATGTAACCATCATTCAACTAATCACCCAAGCTACAAACTGGATAACCAGAAATGATCCAAGCTAAAACTGAAGACTCAGTACAGGGTCCACTCTCCTGAGCATCAGTCTCCATACTGCAGGACTGGGGAATGACAAATATTTGTTAAGGACCTACATTGTGCCAATTACTGTACTAAGTAAGTGCTTTACAAATATTGTCTCTTCTGATATGCACTGACATAAGTATTGTTTGCATGGACTAGAAATCGAGAGGATGCCTATTGGTTGAGGAATGGCTGAACAAATTATGGTATATGAATACGATATTATTGTGCCATAAGAAATGATGAAAGTGACAGATTCAATGAAACCTGGGAAGATTTAGATGAACTGATTGTGAATAAAGTGAATAGAACCAGGAGAACAATTTATATAGTAACAATAAGGCAAGTGAAGGAAGTTCAGAGGGAGACAAAATAAACAGGACAGCTTTGCAACTGGAATGTTGAATTCATTATAAACTTAAAGAAAAAGCTGTACATAATGGAAATTCATGGTTTTATATATGGTCTTTTTTTGTTCTTTGTATATGACAATGTTCAGTTTTTTGGTGTTTATCGAGTTTAGAAAATTAAATATTATTTTAAAAATATTGGTCTTATAGAATTAACTGCTCGTATAATCTTGCCTAAAGTCATTCAGTGAATTATGACTATTTAAGTTTTTAGGAGTGACAGATAAAACACACAAAAAACTTATTCAATGATGGTATTTGTCTTAGATGAGATATAATTTATAGCAATAGTTTTCTTGGTCAAATCTTTTAATTTCCAAATTTCTTAATTAATACCAGTTGGTAAATGTTGGCAGGATAGCAGCATGTGGACTAATGTTCGAAGTTGGTTTTGAAACTGCATTCTTGTAGTTATTACAGTTCATTCTTGCATCTAGCTACTCCCTACTACTCCTACTGAAAGCCTCTAGGCCAGACCCTCGTGATCCTTTGCTTGGACTACTGTAACTGTCTCCTAAATGCTCTCCCTGTCTCTAGTCTCTTCCATTTCCAACCCACATATTTCTGCCAGAGAAACAGTTCTTGATTCAGTCATCTGATGATTCAAATGATTCCAATGCACAAGTCTGATTACATCATTCCCTTGTTCAAAAATCTAAATGGCTTCTCACTGACTACTAAACAAAATACAAACAGCTGAGCTTGGCATTAAATTCTTCTGCAATTCAGTCTGTTTCTAGTAGTATTTTACCCTATTTGCCTACACATACTCTAAGTTCCACTTCAACTGGAATTATTTACAATTTCCAAACTCATCTTGACTTCTCCTATCTCAGCATACTTGCATACACCATTCTCAGGTGCCCAAATGGATTCCTCTCCCCCCACCCAACTGCTATTTATTTATTGTCCTCCTTCAAGACTGAACTCAAATGTCACCAATTCCATGGATGTGAGAAATGTGGAGGTAGAACTGGCAGAATGGCATCTGACTGGATTCTATGAGGGGTCACTTTTCAGGTGGAAGGACTAAGTATTTTGCCACCAACTAAATGCAAGGATAATCTCATTAAGATAGTTTCATTAAAAGACACACAGCTTTTTTTGGTCAGGTCTCTAAATTTCAAATGTTTTCAAATGGGTGGCACAAAATGTTTTCCATGCTATTACTTAAAAACAGAATGATCCATCCATGCTCCTTTTTGAAAACACCGGTAGATTTGAAGTTTTGGTTCATAGAACTAAATGTGGGTTCTTTGCTTTCTCCATCACATAAAGTTTAAGTTTAGAAAAACTATTCATTAACATAACAAGAGTAATTCAGGTTTTCTTATGACTATAAAATTTTGGAGGTAGAAGGAAACTTAGAGATTTGGTTGAACCCTTTCATTTTACAAATAAGGAAAGATAACAGGGATTAAATGACTTAATCTGAGAAGTAACTTAGTGGCGGAATAGAGATCAAAGTCCAAGTCTCCTGACTCTCAGTTCAAATATCTTCCTGGTATATGAACTATAGTAATATAGTCCAGTGAAAAGAATCCTGGATTTAGAGTCAGAGGACCTAGGTTCAAATTTTGGCCCTCTCACTTCCAATCAATATGACTCTGTGCAAATTACAAACTTTCTGGGCCTCAAATGAAGGACTAGCTGACCCAAAGAGTCCCTTCTATTTCTAAATAATCCTATCATTAAGGCATAAGGAAACATTTATAAGCATTTTGAACACAAATAGCTTTGCTAGGTAACACTTCCAAAAAAAATCATTTCTTAACTATCAAATCTTGCACAGATACTTTCTGAAATTTGCTATAAAATTCACTGATAGTTATTTCTGTGTAACTTCCCAATGCCATATCTTTGCTCAAATCATATTAGTAAGATAATGCATTAAAATCTTTTTTTCTGACTCCAAGGCAAAGAAGAACTCAGAATATTTTGCATAGATTGGTCTAGATAGAGGAGTTCATCTTCTCTCTGCTTGTGTCACCATCCAAGGATTATTCTATCCAGTTTCTAATATGTGAATAGCTCCACAGATTTATATTTTGATCAAGCTACTTTTTGAACCTGAACTTCTTAAAATAAGTTATTCTTTCTATCCTCTCTTATACATCAGCTGTTTCACTAATCCTACCAATTACTGCATGTTCTTTTGAACTTCCTTATTTAAGCTTTTTGTTTTATCAAGCTTATTTGTAACTGTCAATACCACATTTATTTAGATGATATGAGATTCTGGGGCAGTGTAACACATGAATAAAGACCAAAAAAACAGTACTATCTTACCCTATGAAAATGACAAAGAAACATATCTTCATTTAACAAATAGCATTTAATCATTGCACAACTGTATTTACATCAAATGACATACATGATCTTACAAAAGTTATATAGACTTGGCAACAAAGTAAGCAGCTCTTACACAGTTTCAATAACAGCAGCCATTTCTTTGAACTGCTTGAAGAAATACTGGAAAGAAAAAAAAGAAAATAATGTTCAATCTGTATTCATATTCAAGTTGTTTTGTCAAATGCAACCAGAGTTTGTTAAAATGTTGAGCTTCAATATGGATTTAAATTTACCTAACAATACATGATTAGGCTAAATCTGAAATTTAGATGGGGAGTTTTGCTTGCCCAGATAGTTTGATAACATGTTAAAATTATATTTTCTGAAGAGATTTGACCTAAACTTGAATTTAAGGATATACAAAAGTACAGTTTACTATTTCAATTCAAGGATTAGTCCTTTTATAAGAGGTCAGTATTAATAACATATTTTTGACTAGGATTTTTTCGTTTTGAAATGGGACTCTAAAACAACTATACCATGAAAAATGTGGTTTATAGTACGTAATTAAAGTAGCATCGGAGAGTATGTGAAAATTTGTTCTTGAAAATAAACCTTGGGAATAATTTTTCTTAATTTGGTTTGTAAAACAGCCACTTATTCTCCACTTGAGTGATTATAGTTGTTTTGCTTAGAATTCCTGACATATTTACAAAAATATATACAATGTCAGCAAATGTTGCTGGGATATGATCTTTGCATTCACCAAATGGATTTTTAGAAATTAAATCTTAAAGACCAGTGGTAAATAAAAAACGAAGCCATGAAAGCAGTTAAATGTTGAGGGGCACTGGCTACAAACTCTTTTTGAAAGTGTGTCTCCAGATACAAAGACAGCATTCACACAAGTATCTGGCTGATGTAAAGCCACTCAGATTTTGATGCTTCAAATTGGCACAGGGCTCTGTCAGAAAAATGTTAAGTACATTTAAGGCTAAGTTGAATTCTGCTTAGATTTCCTGCAGATAAGTCTAGGAGGAAAGTCAATCTTTGGTACATCTATACCCCAATACAAAAAAAGAATACTGGTTAAATATATCCAAAAAAGATGAAAGCTTTTGAAATTCTGGCCAGATGTTAAAGTTCAATTAAGACTGCTTTCATACAGGACATCAAAGTAAATGTATTTTGCCAAATCCCTAGATAAAAAATATTTTTGATTCTGCGTATTAATAAATTAAAGGTATTTCAATTAATACTTTAAAATAACATTTACGTATTTTAAAATAAGGACAATGCTTCCTTTTTAATTTAAAAACAAAAAAAAACCCTGTGTTTTTTAAAAGCAATAATGTCCTAGAAGAAAATTCAAATTAATTCAGTGACAAACCTGAAATTGTGGAATTGTCATTTCAAAGGACTTGTTTGTAATCTGGCCTGACTGATCTGCCACTTTTAGTGTCACTGCAATATAAGGAGACTTAAGAGATCTGCAACTGTCTGAGCTCACCGCCATACCCATTTTCCACTGAAGATCTAGAAGCTGTAACAAAAACAAGTACATAGCATCAACAAGACTGAATACACAAAGCTGCTTAAATTCTATTTCTCCCACACCAACCTTTCGTTTCAACTCAATATTTATATGAAGAAAACATGGAAAAATTAGCCAATGAATAAACTTAACACTACGTGACATAAACATTTGTACTAAAGAATAATTCTCCCTTTTTGATCTAGGAAAAAATTTAAATTCAATTCATAAGCCCCCAAATGCAGAATTGTCACTTCAAAGAACTTACTCCTTATAAAGCTTTTTATCTCCTTAATTTAATGCAAAAGAGAATGGTGTTCAAATCAAACTAAACATCTAGAGAGAGGTGATTAAGAACATAGGGAAGAATCACTGACATTTTTAGAGCTAGAAGGAACCTTAGTGGTTATCTAGCCCAATCCTTTCATTTTACAGTTGAGGATACTGAGTTCCCCAGAAGACAAGTGAGTTGTCTAAGAGATGCAATGAGACAGTAGCAGAGCTGGGATTCTTTGACACACACACACACACACACACACACACACACAAGCCTTTAGTCAATGGATTAGTAACTGAGGTGGGAGAAACGAATAGCCTTGCTACTTTCCCTAATGTGAGCTTTAATTTTGCTTATGCACTTGAGCCCAAGCACTTCCCTCCTCCCACTTAGGCCCTATGATGGGAAACAGCATAGATGGTTCTGAATCTCTCTTCATAGAGAAAGTCTCATTCTGCATCAAATTTCTATCCATGATAGTTCAATGTTCCCATAGTTTATAGCAGGCCAAGGTAAAATATAGCTCTTATTCTTGGATCTGTACAGACAGGCTTTGTGTGACTGAGGCAAATAGCTCTGCTTGCTTAATGGATAAGCACTATTTCTGCATAAAAGGAGGCAGAAGTCCTTTTCTAGGAAGAAAGGTATGGAAGGATTCAGTTCAGCAGCTGCCCCTGATTGTCTCTGAGACAGTTTGGTCAAAGCTACTGTTGAAGTCTTGGATCCTACTCCAAGTCTACTCATTGAGACTTATGTGGACTTAGAAAAAAAAAGAACATTAGAGATGTCACACTTGTTAGAACAATGATCATACTGTCATCCTCAAGTACTAAACTAAGAAAGCACTGTATCTCACATATTTTCCTGTTACATGTCGTAACACAATTATTTGTAGCTATATCTTACCTCAATTACAGTATTTTAAGCTCCATAAGGGCTGGGACTGTTTCTCTCTGAGCGTCCACAGCGCCCTGCATAATGCCTTGCACGTAGAAAGCAGATGTTCACTAAATATTTGTTGCATGAACTGGCACCACAGGTGAGCTGTGGTAGTTGCTGACAATGTTGACACCAAAAGTTTAGGGATACTCTCCTAAACATTCGATTCAATTAACATTTCATCTATTATGTCCACGGCACTGGAGATAAAAAAAAATGGGACTTATGATCTGTATTCGATAAGCTTATCTTTTAATAAGGAAAAGGACAATTAACTACAGTATTAAAGCTAACCAACAGGCATTTAGATATAGCACTAGAACTACTGGTAGAAATTGAGGATAAGACGTCATCTGCAAAGAGATGATAATTGAAACAACAGGAATGGATGAGATCCCCAAAGGAAAAAGGTTAGAAAAAGGAGAAGCACATTTAAGAGAGAACTTTAGAGAATGTCCACCACATTGAAGGGTGGGAAAAAGATAAGAGCTAGGAAAAAAAAAAAGATAAGGAACAGTCATTGAGAAAAATTCTGAGTACAATGTCACAGAAAACAGCTATAACTATCTTCCACAGTAATAAATGCTACAGAGATGATGGAAGATGAAGACACAACAAGAAGTCCCTGGATTTGGTGATAAGGATGGCAGCAGTTTTCTTGGAGGAAGATTTTCTTTTATTAGCTTATGTCATAGGGCTCTAGAGTTATAAGGGAGCTTTACAGACACCCTCATTTGACAGATGAGGAAGTAGTCCCAGATAGGTGAAGTGACTTTCCCAGTCATTCAGAGGATTCTGCCAACCAAACCAATGTTTACTGATCACCTACTATAGAGAAGACAGTGTGCTAAGCACCATGGAGAGAAAAGTTTAAGATGGGTCTTCTTCCCTGGCTCTCAAAGAAACTTACGATGTAATTAATGTAATACATCAAAAAATATATACAACGTGAAAAGTAGCAAATTAGAAATACAGATAATATTAAAGAATAATAGATACAGATCTGGAACAGAACTTAGAGGCCATCTAATCAAACTCTCTCATTTACAGATGAGGAAACTAAGGCCCCATGAATTTAAGTGACTTGCCCAAGGTCATAAAGGTACTCTCAGAGGTGAGATTTTAACCCACCTTCTTGGACTCTATAGTCAGTGTCTCTTCCATTATACCACAATGCTGCCAACAGTTTGGAGAAGATATCAGCATGTGGCAAGTAGTTAAGGAAAGGCTTCATGAAGTGAGACTTGAGCTGGATCTTGAAAAACTGATATAATTCAAATACAGAAAGCAAGTAGGAGGCTATTCTAAGTGTACATGTGGTGACAGACTGGGATGTGGGTAGGCATAAATAAAAGCATGGAGGTATCAATGTTTAAAGCATATTGGCAGGCCTTAGAATAAACAGACTAGTCTTCCTTACATGGAGAATTCATTTAAGTATAAGGTTGGAAAAGTAGACTGCATTTTGGCACACAGTCTTACAACTGTGGTTACATTAGGAGACACAGTAGCTCTCAACTTTGGATCATGACTACAACAAAAAGTCAGTGCAGGAGCTCAGGTAGGGTTGGGAATTCAGTTGCCACAAATTCTTGGAGCACAGATTGAATCAGACAAGTGTCTCCCTACCATTTCCTATATCTTGATCCTTGATGTAGCAATGATTTCCTGGGTTTACTTCTCCAAATGGGTTTCTACACACTTTCATCACTGATATGTTTCAGTCCTTCCCCAGCTGGGATACAAGTTGGGGCCATATTGTAAAGCACCTTAAACGCCATTCTAAGAAGCGTTTTCACCATTTGGCAATAGAGGCACATTGAATTAGACAAAAATGAACTAGGTTTTTGAACCAGGGAATGACATTATGAAATCAGTGTTTGGGAAAGATTAACTTGGTAGCAATGTACAGCACAAAAATAATAGCTAACATTTATATGGCATGAGTTTAAGGTTTGTAAAGTACTTTATTAATAAACATATTGAAGAAAGACATGACTTGAGATATGAAGACCAGTTAGAAAACTATGCTAATAGTCCTGACTTCAGGTAATAAGGGCTGAACTAGGCTATGGATGGGAAAATGACTGATGGCAAGTTTATACAATCAAGATGACAGATTTAGAGCTGGAAGAAACTTTAGGTCATCTAGTGTAATCCCTTCATGTTACCAATGGGGAAACTGAGGTTCAGAGATATTAAATGGCAAATCAAAGATTATAGAAGTAATAAGTGGTATGGCCAGGATTTGAACCCAGATCCTGACTCCACATATAACACTTTCTACTTTATTATTCTGCCTCTTAAGTCACATGGATGGATCAACAGTTCACATTGTACACCCAAGATATCAGCTCGAAGTGGATACATGACCTAGATTTAAAGGAAGCATTACAGACAAATTAGAATAAGGAAGAAATTCCCTTTCAGAACCACGGATAGGAAAAGAGGTCATGAAGAAACAAGTGACAGGATCATGCAAGGTGAAACAGACAATTTTGACTATATAAATTTTTTTTTTTACAAATTTAATGTACTAAAAATTAGAAGTAAAACATGTAACTGGGAAAAAATATTTGTAACAAGTTTTTCTGATAAAGGTCTCATTTCCAAGATATAAAAGGAACTGATTTAAATGTACAAACCTAAGAGCCATTCCCCAACAAATAAATGATCAAAGGATATGAATAGGTAGTTTCAAAGGAAGATATCCAAGCTATGAACAATCATATTAAAAATGCTCTAAATCACTAACAGATATATGTATATTAAAGCAACTGTGAAGGTCCACAATTACAAAAGTGACAGAAGAAAAAAATGACAAATATTGGAGGGGTTGTGGGAAGATGGGCATCCTCGTGCCCTTTTAGTGCAGCTTGTAAATTGGTCCAGTCATTCTGCAATGTAATTGGGAACTATGTCTACAGTTAGTAAACTGGGCATTCCCTATGACCCAGCAATTTTATATCCCTAAGAATCAAAGAAAAAGGAAAAGGATCTATATGTACAAAATTATTCACAGAAACTCTTTTGTGATAGTCCCAAACTGCAAACTGAGGGAGTATACTTCTTTTGGGGAATGGCTAAACAAATTGTGGTATACTAATATAATGGGATATCATGGTGCCATAAGAAATTACAAAATAGACAATTTCAGAGGAAACTTGAGAAAATCTTTATTAACTGATACATAGCAAGGTGAGTAAAACTAGAAAAATTTATAAAATGATAACACTGTAGAGAAAAATAGCTTTTAAAGACTTTAGAATTGTGATTAAGGTAGTAAGTCACAAGTCCAAGCCAGAGGTGAGAAACTTAAAATGCAGAAATGTATGTGTATATATATATGTACACACACACAGACTTATACAGACACACACACACACACACACACACACATATATATATATATATATATATATATATATATATATATATATATATATATATGCATTTGTATATTTTTTACATGGTTAATGTGGGAATTTGTTTTGCCGGACTGTATAGATATATAGTGAAGGGTTTGGTTTTCATTTTTAAAGAAACACTCTACTAGAGGGCAGGGTAGCAGTGAGAGGGACAGATTTGTTTTTAAAAACTACTGTTATTTGAAAATAACTATAATAAACTATTTTTTTTAAAGTTAACTGCCCCCTAGGTAGGTACTCCATTGAAAAATCATCCCAGGACTGTCAGTAGTCACATGGATGGCTCATCCTGTAGATCTATATTGAATAAGTGGGTTATTTAAATCACATTTCTGCTGCTAAGCATGATGAGACAAAATTATCCTATTTACAATCAAAGGCTTTATAGAGTAAGAAGGATGGGCTGCAGCCAACAGGAAAAGCAGATGCCTCATTTACCCAATAAATTCTTTATACAGCAGTGGAAGGAGAAAAGATAGTTTTACTGATCGACACAACCAATACTAGCAGCTGCCCACAAACCCATTTTCAGAAATACTAGCCCACTAAATTATATCTGAATTTATTATATCTGAATAAATTATATCAGAAATTATTCCTAATTCAATTTTTGCTGGAAGTTTGCTGAAAACAAATCCTACAGTTTTTAAAAACAGATGATATCATACATTAATATAACCAAATATTACTGTGCTATAAGGAATCATGAATATGCCTTTATCCTCATGGGAAACTTAGACTCTGCCCCTGGAAAAACTCTGAACTTTGAAAACTCAACTTTCAACTTATCTTCCCAGGACCCTGAGGCTGTTCTTAATTACCTCCCTACCTTCTACTCCTTTCTTCCAGAATCCACTTATGTGTTGTCTTCTCCCATTAAAATGTGTCTTGAGGGCAGAGACTGTAATTTTTCACTTGTTTGTATTCTCAGTGCTTAGCACAGTTTCTGGCACATGTAAGTACTTAATATATGCTCTATCAATCAATCGATTTACACTCTGTATTCAGAGAATACAGAGAAGTGAGGGATGACATATGAACTGATGCAAAGAACCAGGAAAACAACAACCAGGAAAGCCCAAGAGGAAAAAAGTATTAAGTACTTGAGCAATACAGGGAAAAATTTACTTCTAAAGTATACTTCTACATACAAGACAATATGTCCATAGTGAAAGAGAACCTTTACTGGGTTCTTCCTCATGCCCACTTTCTTTCTCCTCTCTAATGTACTCTGAGAAACTGGAAAAGATAATGAAAAACAAACAAAAAGCCCCCAAAAGACAAAAAATACTCTTCATCTTAGTAGCTTCATATTTTTTCCAGTTTTGGGAAAGTAGGCTATAGATACAAGTATATCAAGTGAGGAATCTCTTCTAATCCTAGAAAAAAGGAATAATCTCTCTCTCTTTTTTTTTTAAAGTCAGATACAAGTTGTAGTTTTTGCTTTAGGCTCCCCTAATACTGGCATGTGTGTAACCTGTATGGCTCTTTTCAGGTAAAAAGATGGACAGGTAGTAGGAAAGTAGAAACAGCAATATACAAGGAATGAAAAAAATCTAGGTTTCAGTTCTGATTTCATGAAGTATTGGTGGGGCACAGAAAAAACTGCACCAATACCAGACTCGACCCCCTTCCACCAACCTTGGGAATCTGTGCTTATCAGTAGCTTAGGCAGAAATGGCCTTAGCAGGAGGAATTTGAGGGCACATGGATGATACACAAGCGATTGGAAGACATCACTTAAAGATGTTTTTGCAAAGGAGCCGAGTATTTCAATGTTGATATCCAAAAATCTGAAGCTTCAAAAGCAGAAATATGCCTGCTATACATGATCTAAGTGCCACATAGTTTTTGGAAGAATTTGAAGCCATATTCATGATTCAACAATGGTAAAAAGAACAAGTTCTTTTTTGCACTCAATTTGGAACTCTGGGGATATTAACTGTACACAAAGATGAAAGATCCATGTATTTAACAACCTTATTACATGATCTCTGGAAATTTTATAATATTAAAAACATAAGCTGTGAACTACAGAAATTTCAAAATCACAAATGGGAAAGGGAAGTGAATAAGCATTTATATAGCACCTATTATGTTCAAGGCACTGTGCCAAGCACTTCATAAATATTATTTTATTTGATAAATACAACCAAGCAAAAGATTACTGAGTTACATAACTGGTGTTAGCTCTGATAACACTATTTTATAACTTGTGGCAATGGTTAGTGGCATTTCAAGAAAGTGATTATTACTCTTGTAATCATGTACTTCTACAATGATTACAAAGAGATTTAACCAGTACTTCACAAATTGGAAAGGGTATTAGACAAAATTAAAAAGACATATAATTAGATGGAGGTATTATAATAGAAAGAACACTGAATTTCGAGTCAGATGACCTGGGTTTGATTAAATCCCAGGTATACAACCATAAGCAACTTATTTTCCCTGAGTCAGTTTTCTAATCTCAAAAACAGGACCAATACTTATATTACACCTAACTCACAGGATTGCTGTGAGTAAAGCACTCTGTAAACTTTAAAGCACCACAGAAGTGGGAATTACTATTACAATGAAGACTCAAGTCAACTTTTCTACAACCAATATTTACCTATGGAAACGTATTTGATAAAGGGGACAGAGTAAGCTATTTTCCTAAAGCTATTCCATTACCTAAGGAAAGTTGCATAGTATAGTTGGAATGGGCTCTGGACCAAGAAACTAAAAACCCAGGTCCTCCCATAATTTTGCAACTAATGATGTACTGGTAACTGACAAATAGTCAAGAGAGGTGTACACTAACATCAGCCTTGGAAATTTGAATCTGCTACCATCTTTGGCAAGCATTTCAGAAATTATTGGACTTGGATATACAACCTTTAAGACTCTGCAGCAAAATAAAAACTGTAAACTGATTAGAAAAAATAAAATTTGCAGCCTCTTCTAAAGTCCTATTCAGATACCTTACTGTAACATGGAAGTGACTTAATTTTTTAAAGCTATGTCAGTAAAATACAAGTTCCAGGAGCTTATCAATCTAGAAAGATCCTGCGTATTGCAGGCCCAGGAACAGGCTGCATACCTGTTACTCAAGAAACTGTCTAGCTAATTTTGGAAAGACTCACCATCAGGAAAGTTAACCAGCATATAAGGTAGGTTTTACTCCCCCAGACTATCTTCTAAAGCTGGAATGACTTTGATATGTATCAGTAGAAGGAATATCCATAGAGAACTTAGGGATGGAAGGGACCTCAAAAGTCAGATGGCCCAACTCATTCCTGAACAGAAATTCCATCTACAAGTGTTCATTTAGCCTTAACTTGCAAACATCCTCAAGTGGCCCATTCCACAGAAGAAATCACAAATCTCTGAAATACTGAAACAAAACACTCATTTTCACAACAGAAAAATCATGAAAATTAATTTGTAATGCAAATACTTATTATCTTATAATCTTGCCAAAATACCAGTGCTGTTTCCATTTTATGAATCTAATCAAATCAATATTAGTATAATTACTCATTTACTAATTTAAATTTAGATATTACTCTAATGTTTACAAAGCACTTTTCGGCAAGTATTATTGCCATTTTATAAATGGAGAGACTGAAGCACAGAGAGGATAAATGTCGGATTATTGGGGACAAGTATGATTTCATTTTTTATCTTTGTACCCCCAGAACCTTGCAGTGCTTGGCACATGGTAGGTAATTGATAAACGCTTATCAACTGACTAAATGAAAACTGCTACTACTAGGACTTAAAGTTAGGTCTTTTGACTCCCAAGAATAGTGCTCTTTTTTACTATTCTATTGTTATTTAAAAACATATATCCTTAGAGGCTCCTTTATTTCTATAAGCTATATTTAGAAAAAATAATAATATAATGAAAACTAGATGCTTAATAGTATTTAATAGCAATTATGTACTATCACAATATTACTAAACGGATCTGCCTATTAAAGATGCTCTGCAAAATCACCTAGTTTTTCCTTTGTCATAGTAAGTTCTCCTTCAGAAAGGACCTTAGAGTCTAAAAACCTAAATTCTTCTCATTTTTAGTCTAGAAGGGGGGAAATGATGTAAAGAATGCATCTGACTTTAAAATATTATGTAATTTAAAAAAATATAACAGATATGCTTAATATTTAGGGCAAATTTAATTTCCTCAGCATCCATTACCTGGAAAGCAAGTAATGAGTGACTGGAATGTGCTGCTGAAAGGAAGATTAACACGAAATTAAAAAGTAGCTGTGAAAAAAAAATGAAGAGTAGAATATCTATTAAATGCAAATTTCTGGATGCTCTCCAAATACAGTCAATCTTTGATTATTTACTATGGCAAAGGGTACAATGATAGGGTAGAACAGATGGCCAGTTTTTCTGAGATTCTTCCCATGCCACAGGGCCCCCCAAAGAGCTAAAAGGCATCCCTGAGGCCATCTTATCGAATGCCTTCATTTTATGGATGAAGAAACTAACGTTCAGAATTGAAGTGATTTATCCTGGTTCACACTGATAGTAGTAGAGCTGATATTTAGTCTAATTACTATAAACTCAGTGCTGGTAGATATACAGGCCTCAAACATGTAGACACTGTAAGGAGTTTGGTAAATTCTAATACTTTTATCATCTTCCTTTCACATTTGCCCTTAAAATGGGGTGCCTTCTTGTGACTAGCTTCCGTGAATTTAGCCAGGTTGGTCCCTCAGAGAACAAACATGAACTATTTGTAGGCCTGTATCTGATGACTTCAGAGTTTGGCAGGACTTGCCAGAATTCATGAATTTATTTTCATATGTAGCCTTCCAAGACAAAATAGGGTACATTACTATGTAAGAAAGAAGCCAACTGGGTTGCATGGAACTCTCAGTCTTAGTAGGATGTGAGATAAGGACATCAAAGCATAAGAAGAATCACTTGTTCTGTTCCAAGTCTTGCTCTCATATAAGACTCAGATTAAAACAAAACAACAGAGGTACAGAAAAAAACAAATAACTGTGCTCTGTTGACAGGAGGCAAGAAAAACTATCAACAAATAGTAGGAATTCTGCTAAATGGACAAGGAAAGACAAGTTACAAGTTACTTTCCAGTACTACATACTAAAAAAAGCATGTAATAATTTCTTCCTGTACAAAAAAAGGCAGCTGAACTAGATGGTCTTCAAGGTTTCTTCCAGTTGTATGTCCTGTTAGCCTAGCATCTGTGCACAAAAAATTAAAAGCTACCTAAGATCGACTTAAACACTTAAAAAAACAAACACCTGTGTATGCCATTTCGAAGTTTAAAAAATAAATAATGCCATATACAAGATTATGACCACAGGGCAAGTAATTCCAAAACATACCAGTACAAGGAAATACAATTTGCATTACCTAGAGTATAGAGAGCTCAATTCTACTTAGATTTCACACTCCGGAATCCAATAGGTTATCAGACATAGCTCAACGGTATTAAAGGAAGCATCCTACCCTAAAAATACGTGTGTGGGGGGGGGAGATTTTAACCAGAGTGGAATTCTGCGTGAACTTTAAGTTAAAGTGGGGAGGTTATGAATTGAGATGACAGAGACTAACTACAAATTAAAGCAGGTACAAAGTGGAAAAAATATCACAGAGGGCTCTCACTGGCAGTCAATCAACAAGCACTCACTAAGAGCTCTTATGGAGCAGACGCTGTGCCAAGCTCTTGGGATACAAATAAAGAAAAATACGGTCCCTGCCTCCAAGGACTGCATACTCCACTTCGGGGACACAATATCTAAATAACTTTGGACATCCAAGACACACACAGAGTAGATGGAAGAGGATTAAGAAAGGAAGGCCCTAGCAATTCGGGTACGGGTGGGGGTGAAAGTAGGAAAGGCCTCCTTCATAAAGGCGGGGGGGGGGGGGGGGGCGGGAATAGACGAAGGGGATGTGAGCTAAGGCTTAGAGGAAGCCAGAGAGGAGGTGACAGGAAGGGTATGGGTCACAGCTTGGGCAAAAGCACGGAGGCGGGAAACAAGAGTGTTGCATGCCAAGAACAGCAAGGTTAGGGAGCTGGGGGGATGGGCGACGGAGGGGAGTGGAGACCGAGGTCCTACACAAGAAGAGCCTGACTCCCAGTGGGGCGGATGCGAGAGGGGCGGAGACAGGGAGGAGAGAAGGCGGGGCCACGAGGGGGAGGGCCGAAGTGGGCGGGGCCAGAGACTACTCACCTGGTTAGTGACCTGCAAAGGAAACAAGAAATAGTTTAGAAATAATCAGTCGGATTACAGAGCCGCCTCGACCCCCGCCCGGCTCCCTCTCACCCCAGCCTCACCTCGGATTTGGCCTCCTGCGGCTGACACAACCCCTCCATAGTCAACTCAGGGGAACTCTGACAGCCCGTAGCCATTTCCGCTTCCGTCCCGGCTCCGGACGTATCCAAGATGCGGGGGGACTCGACGTTCCATGTCCGTGGATCCCTATTTTTTTCCCTCAGCAAAATTCCAGTACAAGAGAGACACTGAACATTTCTTGTATCTGTGTGAAATAAAAATACTTCGGTATCTTTCTCCCAGTAAAAGGAGGAAGAGGAGGCATTTGAATCGGGCCTCTCCCCCCCCTTCCTTATCCTAGCGTTCCATACTTGAATTCTTCCTGCTCTGGGAAAAGAAGGCTGATCCTGCGCATGCGCAAGTTGGAGAGCCCTTGCGTGAAGACTTTCCCAGAGGCTGAGGCTGCACCGGCACTGGCGGAGCTCTAGCTGCACAGGAGCTGCCCCAGAAGCCGCTCAGAGAGGTGGCTTGTTTCCAGGATTCATCTCTCCATGCATCCTATGGCCCATGCCTACTTCCATAGAGAACTAGGGAAAGAAGTAGCATACTTTTTTGAAGCTAAATTTCCCAAGCTGTTCACACTTTTAGACACTAATGCTCAGGTTCAGTGGATTTAGAGCTAAGAGGGACCTTAGAGATCATTTAGATCTCTTTTTATGGGAGTGGAAAGCCCAAAGAGGTAAATCAATTTGCCTGAAGTCAAACAGGTTGTATGTAGCAGAGTGGAGATTTGAATCCAGAAACGGGGACAAACAAAATAGTTTGGGAGCTAACCTGCTCAGTGTATTCTATAGTTAAGATAAAACAATATAACTAGCATTTATATTTTATTTATTCTGTATTTAAATATATATTTAAAGTTTGCAAAGCACTTTACAAATGTTAACTCGTTTTATCCTCAAAACAGCCATGGGAGTTCTCCATTATCTTCCATCATCCTTCAAAACCACATAGCTCATCAATAGCCTCTGACCCCTGATTGGAGGGAACGTTACAGGCACTTAAATGTTTATTGACTGAGTTAGGTGTTATTATCTCCAAACTGAGGCAGAGAGAGATAAAGTGACTTGCCCAGGGTCATACAACTAGTGTCCTAGGCAGTATTTGAACTATTTTCTTATTTTCTATGTGTCATCATCAGTCTTTATTTAATGACCCAAAGTCCTATGACCCTTTCAGACTAATTAAGGACATAACTGGTTTACTTTTGATTGATTCAATTGAGATGACTGGGACTTCTGTGATTAATTGATTTAGGCTAGACCTAAACTGCCTTTATATTATTATATACATGCATTTATTAGTAAGTGGCAAGTATTTTAAAACCAGTCATATTTGTTAAAATCTCTATCTCTTGACACCTTCCCTAACCCCTTTAAGAAGCTTTGTGCTTGAATTAAACTTTAACAGTTAAAAAATAAAATGAAAAACCTTTACCTCTAATAAAGGGCAGAATCTTGAATGACTGTCTTTTTATTTGCTTTTCAAAAATAAAAAAAGCAAATAAAAACTTGACATCTATGACAGGTGAAGAGTATGTATATATATTTACATTAATATACACATTTTATAAAGAGTTTCTGTAAAATTTTACAGGGACTTTTTCAATGCTGCTGAAATATTGAATGCCTTGCATGAGTTTTTCATTCTTCCTAGCTAGTTCTGCTTTCTCAAGATAAAACCAATTTTTTTTTTAATGTTTGTAGCTGGGCCTGTTTTTTGACCAAAACTTGCTCAGTGTGGAATTAGTAAAGTAGACAGAGAAATTTTGCTAAGATGTTAATTATGTAAACAAACTTTATTTTATGTAGTACCTGCTTTGGCCTGCCTTTCCCCTTTCTCCCCCCCAATTTGGCACTCACAGGTTTGCTATTTGGGTTCCCCTAGAGGCATGACAAATCACAAGATCTGAACTTCCTGAAATTATAGCTAATAAACCCCTACCAGTGATCTTACCTTTAGTAGTCAGGACACAATATTAACTCAAAGCAAAGGCATTTACTAAGATGATACAGTGAGAAAAATAGGTAAAAGACATTTCCCTCATAAACCTGGGGCATACTTTCCTATAAATATACACAGCACTGATGGGAAGAGTAGGTACAAACTTAGAGTATACCTGTAGCAAGGTGCTCACCAGTAGGGAACACTTGAGGGGCAGCTAGGTGGCGCAGTGGATAGAGCACCAGCCCTAAAGTCAGGAGGACCTGAGTTCAAATGTGACCTCAGACCAAACACTTGACACTTACTATCTGTGTGACCCTGGGCAAGTCACTTAACCCCAATTGCCTTAAAAAAAAAATTGAACAAACAGTAGGGAACACTTGTTAAGGTCTCCGAACTACAATGTCCTGGTCTTCATTCTTTCCTTGCAGAGTACTAATGCTTTCTATATACCGTGTGTGGTATTTCTGCTGGATAGGTTGATATACCAGCCTCCCTGGACCTGTTCGTTTCTACAGCTCTACTCTTTTTCTCAGGCTAGTTCTCTTTCTCCCATTCTCAGGGGCTGCTTCCTCAGGGTACCTCTTACTCTACTACTTCTCTCATATTCATCAATTTTTCCAGTGTGAATGCTCTTACTGATCCTCATTGTAATTACCGGTCATTGTAATGGTCACATTCCACCTGCCTGCCCTCACCTTCTACTCTACTCCATAGAGAGTGGGTGTCTCTGCTACCTTCTGTATGTGTCTTAACTATGCCTCAAATTCTCTGGAACTGATAAACTCTCTACTCTCTGGTGGTTTCCAAGACTTGGCAGGCTTAACTTTTTAAAGGCCTCTAGGGGAGTACCTAGTCTTTGCCAGTCAATTGCTTACTGCTTTTCTGAATCAGTGCATAGATATATTTTCACATGTTGTTAGCATAACAATACCCAGTTATTTCTGTTATCTGTTCTTACTTTTGGTGATTACATCAACTATGGGGAAAATCTTGGGTTTGAATTGCTGTTCTGTCACTTATTACCTGGGTAACCTTGGGCAATTGCCTTAACCTTTTTGGCCTTGAGTTTCTTCATCTGTAAAATTAGGTAGTTGGACTACATGACTCCTAGGGTCCCTTCTAGCTATAGATCTGTGATCCTATTGTACTGCCCTTTTGGATTACCAGGGAGATATAGACACAGGAAAGGAATGCTTGTTGGTTCAGATGGAAATTCCAATCAGAATTGTCCCCTCCTCCATCAACTGGGAATTGCCCTGACTCTGGAATGGCCAGACTTTGACTGACAAACTAATTCTCTTGTCTCAAAGGAATCAAACATGAGGTATGGGCTGCATTTGGCCTACAGCACTCTCTGTGAGGCCACAACCAGATTAAAATGTAATTGGGAAATATTTAACAAAATAAATAAAAATACAATAAAACAGATAATATCACATTTTAAAACTTAAGTTAATAGGTGTCCCACAGGCATCAATTATGTTCTGATTAGTGGCCCTGTTTTTATTTGAGTTTAACACTACTAGTATTAACCATAGAAGGAGAGCATAGGTGGTGGCAGACAGGTGGGGTGGCCACTGCAATAATTGGTAATTGCCTCAGGGATCAACAGAAGCATATGAACAGGGAAAATTGGTGAGTTTTGAGAAAAATGGCAGAGTAAGAAGTACCCTAAGGAAGTAGCCCCAGTGGGGGCATAGCAGGAGAATGGGAAAGCAGACTTTGGAGAGCTATTACCATGGAAATGAAAGGGGTTGTGCAGTCATGAAGCTGCCAGTGTAAAACTCTGGGGCCTCGGAACATGTCTAGGTAGATTTTGTCTTTGCTAAATTCATGTAAAGAGGCAGATCCAAAACTGCTGATTCCTTTTCCCCTTTTCCCTTCCTCTCTCTTTTGGAAAGAAGCATACTCTGCCCATATTTCATTTCTTAATATTTTGTTGTTTGCTGTTTTCTTTTAGTTGTTTTTTTTAAAGCAGGATAAGTGTGTTTGTTAATCTATGTGTTTCATTATTCAAATGCAACTGAGAAAGACAATGAAGCAAAGGGGATACCTCACAGATAGAGAAGAAAATTTTTTTTCAACTATGAAAGGTGTTTACCAGGGCAACTTTTCCTGACGAGGGGCTCAGAGCTACTACATATGAGAGAATTGTTGATTCAGTTTTACCATTCCCCTGGAGTAATGAGAGAAGACTTCAACCCAGATATTTCCAGACAAACAAGTCAATAGCTGTATTTTAAAAATAAATATTAAAAAATAAAATTATAAAAATTATTTTTATTTTGACATCTGAATAAACGTTGACTCCTCAGGACATGGCCTTTGGCATTTTTTCCAACTTATTCATCAGCTTGTTGCACTCTGCCTTTCTCAGAAACATAGATGCCATCCAAAAATTTTCTGATATCTTTGTTTTTGACTGTGGTGGCCTATTGAATCAGGGCAGCCGAGTTTGATACAAGTTCAATATCATTTCCTTCAAGAATTAACTCATCTTTTTGGGCTTGAGAAACAGCACAAGCAACACCTGGTCTCATGAGCACTCTTTGGACATGTTTTTCACCCCCAAAATTTCTGATTTCAACAAATGAGCCATTCTCTTGAATAACACCATTGGTGGGGAAGTGAGCATACACAGACCCTCATCTTGTAAAAAAAAATCCATGTTAATGCCTTTGATCATGTTTTGTACATGACTACAGATTGTAAGTATGGTTGCAAGTTCTTTTTGATTCCCCCACTGCCTGTCCACCTGGAGCCTTCTTTTCTTCTTTCCAAGGAGACTGAGCTCTGATTTTCAACTGATACGGTTGAAATCCCTAAGGAGGATTCCTCTGGGCCCCTTCACAATAACCTTAAGAGAGATGTCAACATTTTCTGGGATGTCGATGGTCTGGCTGCTTTATTCTGGTAGTGAATGGACCAAAGAGAGTCTCCTCAGCCACCTCAAAAGGAAAATCAAATCATGCCAAGAGGCTGAGCCAAGAGGGAGTCTACAGAGGGTGAAGAGGTAGCACTACACACAGTAAGGAGGAGTGACAACCAATGCTTCCAGCATAGTATATCAACCTACCACCACTACTAGACTATAGTCACTTGGATTCTCAAGTCAAAGTTTGGTCTCTGACCCCTGAGCCCCATGAGACATAAATTTTAAAAGGGGGTAGGGTGGGGAGAGGAAATCCCATAAAACATAACAGCCTACATTGGAAATGGAACTTTTCTGTATAAAAGGGGAAGACTGGGGAACCATTTTGCTGCTGTCATCCTATGATCTTGGCCTGGCTGCTGTGCTTGGGGATGGGCAGCCTAGATCACACATTGGCATAGGACTCAGGAACTTCACAGGCTAGATAAGGACATTGGTCAGGAAGGCAGGCATAAAGACAGCTAGCAACTTTGCTCTTAGCCTCCGCATCCATGGTTTGGTCACTTGTGTATTTAAATATCCAGATATGTAAGTTATGTACATAAACACATTTCTCTGGTATGGTTGCTGGCTTCCCACAAAATCACCCATCTAGAAAATGGTTCTTGCTACTTTGTGGGGAAAGTAGGCAGATGGGCTTGATTAACTGTCCCCCCATCTTCTATGCTAGGCTTGAGGGTTACAAAGATAAGAATGAACAGTCCTTCCCCTCAAGAAGCTTACAGTCAAGTCATGTCAATAAGCATCTATTAAATGACTACCGTAAGTGCTTCAGATATAAAGAAAGGGAAAAAAACCCCAACCCAACAACCCCAGTATCTGATGTTGAGGAGCTTACAATCTAAGAGAGGAAACAATATACAAACAACTATTTACACAGATATATACAAGAAAGGTCAGAGATAATTTTAGAGGCAAGGCACTAGCATTAAGGGGAATTGGGAAAAACTCATTGCAGAAAGTAGGATTTTAGCTGGGTCCTGAAGTAAGGGAAGACAAGAGGCAGAGGTGAGGAGACAGAAAATCATGGGTGCCGAGGACAGTCAGTGAAAAGACACCGCTGGCTGGCGAGTGTGGTGTGTGAGGAATAGCAAGGAGGCCAGTATCCCTAGATCACAGAGTAAGTGGCAAGAAGTAAGGTGTAAGAAGACTACAAAGGTGTGTGTTGGCATAGGGGAGGGAGAGGGTAAGTTATGAAAGACTTCGAATGCCAAAGAGAGGAGTTTATATTTGATTCTGGAGGCAATAGGAAGACAATGGAGTTTATTGCATAAGGAGTGCTTTAGGAAGATCTTTTTGACATTTGAGTGAAACAGGGGTGTCAAACAGGTGGGACAGCTGGCTGCTTGAGGCCCACATCACTCCCAAGAGCAGACTGAACCAGATTAAGATAGAATTGGCAAATATTTCACAAAGTAAATACAAATACAATAAAATATGGATAATGTTAACACGTAGTTTTCTAAGTAAATGTGCACCAGCAGGGAGTCTTACGTTGGTTTTAGTGACTGGGTTGCAATTTGAGTTTGATATCGCTGGAGTCAGAATGAAATGGAGTAGGGAAAGATTAGTGACAGGGAGACCAACCTGAAGGCTATTGCCATAATCCAGGTATGAGATGACAAGGGCCTGTATCAAGGCAGTTGTAGTGTCAGAGGAGAAAAGTGGGGCACATATAAGAAATACCATGTAGGTAGAACTGATAGGAATTGGGAATTGTTTCAATATGGGAAGAGACATTGAGGAGTTGAGGATCACATCTAGGTTTTCAGGTAAATGAAAAGATGGTGGCACCCTCAACAGTAAAAGGGGATTTAGGAAGAGGGGAGGTTTAGAGGAGGAAAAATAATAAGTCAGTTTTGGACATGTTGAGGGTAAGATGTCTGAGATGTCTAATAGGCAGATGGTGATATGACTCTAGGATAGGGCAGGATAAATCATTCTGAGAATCAACCCCATGATGATAGGTGAATCCATGGGAAATGAAAAGATCACCAAGGAAAAAAGTATAGAAGGAGAAAAGAAAAGGACCCAGGTCAGAGCCTTGGGGGTATTCTCACGGTCAGTGGGAGTGACTTGGATGAAGATCCAGAAAAGGAGACTGAGTCGTCAGATAGGTAGGTAGATAACTAGGAGAGAGTGGTGTCATCAAAATCTAGAGGAGATTGTATCAAAGAGAAGAGGGTAAATGAGGATACAGAGAGGTTAGAGATGAGAACTGAAAAAAGGCACTTATATTTGGCATTGGGGTTAAGTGACTTGCCCAAGGTCACACAGCCAGTACGGGTCAAGTGTTTGGTCAGAGTCCACATTTGAACTCAGGTCCTCCTGACTTCAGGGCCGGTGGCTCTGTCCACTGCGCCCCAACTACTAGTAACTTTGAAGAAAGCAGTTTCAGTTGAATGTTGATGTTGGAAGCCAAACTGCGGAGTTAAGAAGAAAGTGAGAGGAAAAGAATGGCCTTCTCAAGGAGTTTAGCTGTGAAAAGCAAGAAAGATACTGGACAGTAGGTATCAGAGGTGGATGGATCAAATGAGGGTTTTTTTGAAGTTAGAGGACACACCTGTATATTTGTAGGCAGTAGGGAAGTAACTAGCAGATATGAAGAGTTTGAAGATGAGTCGGAGTGAGGGTAATAAAGGGGTCGATCTGTTGAGAAGATAGTATGGAATTAATCAGTCAACATTTATTAAGTACTTAAAGGCACTGATCACTTGTTCATGTAGAGGATCTGCCTTGGCTAGGAGAACAGCCATTTTTTCATTCAATACAGGATTACAGGAGGAGAAAATGGGAGGAAGCATCTGAATGATGTGATATCACATCAAGAAGAGAGAGCTCTAGGTCAACTTCTTCAGTGAAACATAAGTCAGGGTTCTCAGCCAAAAGGGTAGAGGGAAGGCAAACCGTGGAAAATTTGAAGAGGGATGAAAAGATTTGGAAAATGTGTTAAGGTAGGTGGGATAGTGGGTCAATCAGGGAAGTGGAAAAGGATTGCCCTGCTTCATGAGGGTCCAGTTGATAATATGTAACATAAATTTATAGTGGTGACCTAGTTTCATGGTTTCATGATTTTTGCCAGTTTTATTCAGTCACATGTGAATAATAAATAATGAAGACAATGGATAGTGGGAGTAATACAAAGGTGGGGTTTGATAGGGCAACATTGTTGATAGAAAAAAGGGGCAAGAGACTTGAAACATGAGGATTGTGGGGAGTTCAACTGGTTTACCAGGGTTCAAGATGCGGAAGGAGGTGAGCATAGCTAATAGGGGTGAGGGCCTGGAAAAGAACTGAAGGGGGAGTAGACATCTTAGGGAGGAAACAGAACAGAGTTAGATGTTGCAAAACAAAGGAGAAGTAGAATGACAATAGATTATGCTCTGATAAAGGAATTTCAGAATTTACGAACATGGAAGTAGAACTTTTGTGAGTGACGGCAAGCTCGAGGTATAGCTGTTACGTGTAGCTGAGGTGGGGTCAAGGAGTAGGTTATGGATAATGAATAAATGGAGGAACTGGTAGATCAGGGTGTTTGAAGGAGACTGATAATGATAGAGGGAGATTCTGGAAAAAGCAATGGGTAGCAAGAAATCTCCAAGCTGTGTCATCTGGAACCAGGTCTTAATGAGACCATGAAGATAGAAGGAGTGAGAAGGGAAACGGTTTAAGATGAAAGCAAGTTTATTAATTACAGAGCGAGCATTCTAGAGAGCACAGTGGAAAGAGTTGGTAGCTTTAGAGTGGGACATTGTGGAGGTTAGGTTGAAGGAGATGGGAATAAGTGGGGAATGGAAAGTTAGTTTTAAACCAAATGAGAAGTTGGGGTTCAGAATTACTGGGATGGTGGGGGTATGATCCAGTAGAAACATGTTAATCATTGAAGATTGAGTTCAGTTAGATTATCATCATCCTTAGAGGTTTCAGTCTGGAGGTGGATTCATTCTTTAGGCACAGATTGCTATGTCGCTGCAAAGGGGGTTTGAGGTGCAAGGCAACCAATGTGGAATTTGTAAGAAGATTGAATGGCTAGCCCAGGGAGGCTAAGATCTCCTCTCTTTTTCTCAGTATTGAGAGGAAACAACTCTGGAGCTTCTTGATCAGGGCAGTGATGTGGTCATTCCTATATTAAGAGTGTTAATCTATCAACTTGTCACTGCTGTGGAGTTTAGGCTAAAGAGGGGAAAGTATAAATGAAAGGAGACAAATTAGAAGGCTACTAAAGTAGTCCAAGAAAGATAATTTGGATTGTGGCTGTCCTGTGACTAGAGAGAAGGGAGCAGATGGAATAGGTGTGAAGATATTTGGCAATTGACTGGTTGGGAGGGGGCATGGTGAGGAAGAGGAATGGAAACAATCTACTGAAGTGGAGAAGGGTGATATCTGAGTCCTAGGGAGGGAAGATTAAAAAAAAAAGTCATCAGAATGATCATTAGAATCTGCTAGCAATAAGCTAAGTCTTACTTCTTGCTTCTGCATTTTTCTAGAGTTCCTGAAAAGAAATCGCCACTTTCTGTCAAGGCATTTTCTTAGACAAGTTATAATTGATTGCATTTCATTTTATATCAGTTACATTTAGATCCTGATCTCATTATTCACAAATTCTCCCTTAAGGGTGAGTTACTCCTGCAGACAATCTCAATTAGTTTTATGCTTATTTAATCTCAGAGGATGGCATTTCTCTGGCCTTGTTTCCAATTTGGTGTTGCAAGAGTATATTAATATACCCTGGGTGCACCCAGTGCCCTCTCTCTGATGCAGAGATTACAGATTTATGGGGAGAAAAATATCCCCAAATCTCCTATCTTTTCTGGTCAAGTTATTTTGTAGAAGGTCGATTGAGGTGATTGCAGCAGATTGTATTTAGGCAATTATGGGAACCTTATTGAGACGAGACAGCAGACTAGCTTTTTAAAGCTTTTAATAACCTTTTTGGACATATTCTGCTAGATGACTTACTCTTCATTTATGCTCCTCTCCTTGATCCCTGGATTTTCCCTTAGCAGTAAAGCCTGTGTCTGTCTTTTTTTTTTTCCTTCGAGGGTTTTTAGCAAGCTGGCAAAAGGTCCTTCCCTCCGCAGTGTTAGGAGGCACCCCAATTCTCCAGAAAAAAATGCACGCAATAGTGTCAGGACGGTCCAGAAACCTCAGCGCGCCTAGACACGCTTGTAGCAGATTAGGGCTATTCCACCCTGCCCAAGAGCCACACGAGGGGAAGAGAAATGTTACAGAGGAACCACCGCCCCCTAGTGGCTGCAGCTTATTCCTGCAAGCAGATTAGCCTCTTCTGCAGACCGAGGAGGCGGCGCGCGCCCCCTAGCGCCTCGGAACCGTAGCTAGAGCAGAAAAGAAGAGGTAGCCGGAGACCACGCGGCGCCAGGCAGGCGCGTGCGTACAGGCGCCTCACTCGGCCTGGGGACTCGGAAGAGCCCAAGTGCCAGAAGCCAGAGGGGAGTGAGCGGTGGATTCAGGGTCACTCTTCCCCGTTCCTAGGCTTCGACCTTTCCTTCCTGACTTCGTTGCAATTGGTGATTTAACTCAGATCGGGAAGCCGCGCAGGGAATCAAAAGTAGGGGCGAGAGGCTTGCGTAGCTGAGACGTGTTGCTCTCCATTCCCCTCCCCACGACGGGGGGGCGGGTTGGGCCGGCCCCGGGTCAGGAGGCGCGGGGGCGGAAGCCGCGAGGGCGCCTGTGGCTGTCAGAGCTAGAGCCGGGAGACTGAGCCGAAACCCGAGCGAGCCGGCCATGGAGAGTCACCGCTGGCTGCCTCTGGAGGCCAATCCCGAGGTGAGCGGCGGGCTGGCGGGGCTGAACGGGTCGGGCCGGGCGGAGGCGGCCTGGAAGCCCGACGAGTGGATCCCTGACCCACGTTTTCTTTTTTTCCGTTTCAGGTCACCAACCAGGTGAGTGAGTTGTAGCCGGGAGCCTCGAGTGCTTCGTCCCCCGCCTGCCCGGCCTCCAGGTTGCTCCACGCCCCCCGCACTGGTCGGGTCTTCGTTCCGCCGAGGCCTCCGCCCGCTGCTAGTCTCGCCGGAGGCTCCTCTTTCCAGCCTCTCCCGCTGGATCTTGGCGGTGACCGGGCCCCTGCATTCATCCCCCGGCCTCGGCCTCTGTTCCCAATAGCCTGCTTTCTCCCATCCGCTCCCCAGCAGCGATCTCCCTCCCTTCGCCATCCTTCCTCATAACTTCTTGCTAGGGTCGGATTCCATAATTCCCTTTAAATGCATTTCTTGGAGAGGGGAGTTGAGTTTTCCACTCTTCTGGAGTGCAAGCCCTGTAAACTCACCTCCTGAGTCACCTCCAGCTCGGTGAAATCACCTTCCCCCATCATCTTCCCATGCCCTCATCGACACACCTTGTTTTCTGCTCCGCCCCACTTTTCTCCTCCCAGATTTCTAAATGGGTAAATTTAGCTTTTGCACCTTCTTACTAAACCTTAATTGAAAGCCAGTCTGTTCCTTGGAGACTGCCCCACCCCCTTTTTTACTGATTCCAGGGATGAGGACTTGGAGCGGTGAAATCAGTATGGAGTAGGGTGGTATCAGAAAACGATTCTGGTGCGTGTGAAAGTCCGAGAAGCAAAAGCTACCTTTGGCTTCTGGAAGAGGTGGTCGGGAAGTGGTTTTTGCCCTTTACTGGACTGTTGTTTTAAGTTAGGAGTGTGAATTTTATTTTAAGGTCATTTTTTAAATGGCTCAACTCCACAGTTTTTAGTGCACTAAACAACATTATTCTGTTGTTATTTGAAACCTCACATCTTTATTTGTTAACGTTACCCAATACATGAATTTTAAGTTGTCCATTTTTATGCATTTTAGCTTTTGTTTCCTGATTTCAAGTAGCATAAGTATTCAGAAATTTTATTTCCTTAGAAATTACATATGAAAATATTCAGATTATATTTTGCAAAATATCCTCACTACATAATCTCCTTTCTAAACTCCTAAACCAACCAGTGGGTGGATTTTTAAAAAACATAATATTTTTCCTCTGAAGGCATTTAGGTATGTTTTCAGTAGGTTATCTAGGAAAAAAAAACAACAAAAAGTTTGTTTTTCTATTCTGAATCAGCACAGTATCCAGCAAATGTCTTTTTACTTCATCCAACCCAGCATTTCATAGCTATTGAAATTCCTAGTTCACAGAATTTTAGAAATGCTACAAAGCTACAGTTTTTTTTTCTTTTTTCATGACAAGACCAGAGTGTGGAAATAAACTTTTAATTTATAAATTATAGCAAGAATTATTCCTTGATGTTACTGATTTTAACATGCTACTCAAGACTGAATGTGAAACTATTCTTTAGTCATTAGGTTTCTTACTATTTAGGTATGATTATATAACTTCTGAATAGTTTTATGTTATATAGTTAACACTGGACCTTGTTCCTAGGTGATCTTAATTATAAAATGTCTTGATTCTGTAATAAGGTTATAACTTTGGGAAAGTAAACCTGGTGGGAAAAGATATGTGGTTGAGTAAATATCAGACTGGGAAGCCTGATACTGGCTTATTTTGTCTCAAACTCCACTGTTGGGTAAATGTGCTTTTAGTTCAGGGGAATGGGCTAGTAGTGGTCAATTTTTTCAGAATTATTTGTGATCATTTCTTTAATCTTCATGTGCAAATGTCAGAACTGCTATTTTTGAACAGCTGGGAATTTTAGTTGTATTTATATTTATAAAATCTGCTTTATTAGTCTTAGGTCTGGTACATAGAACTATAGATTCTTAATTCACATGGCATATTTTCAATTAAAAATAGGGACTCTGTTCCTCACAAAGTCTTATTATGACCTAGATAAAAAAATCTTTGTTTTTTTAACCATCTTCATGTAATGTTTTTTGGCCCGTCACAAGTCCAAGTCACTCTGGTTTTTTAATGTCGATTGATGTGTTCAGAACTGACCTTATTCATTCTCATGAACTCTGTGATCCAGTAACTCTGAACTCTGTGCTGTTTCTTGCTCTTGCTCTAGGCATTTTCATGAACTGTCATCTCTGCCTCCTTGTTTCATTGGCTTTCTTTAAGTCTCAGCTCAAATTCCACCTTCTGCAAGAAGGCTTTCCCAGTCCATTATAGTCTTAGTGCCTTCCCTCTAAAATTACCTCCCAGTTTACCTTGTCTGTACATATACCTTGTCTGTACATAGTTGTTTTCATACATCATCCTCTTTGAGACTGTGAGCTCCTTGAAAGACTGGTTTGTTTTTTGTTTTGGCCTTTCCTTGTATCTTCAGTGCTTAGAACAGTGCCTGGAACTTAGTAGGTGCTTAATAAATGCTTGTTGATTTGATTTGCTCATAATATTTCAGATGTGCCATGGCCAATGCAGAATATAGGTGAACTTCATTTATCTTGCCTAGGACAGAAAACTTCTGTTAATGCAATGTTACATTTTATTTTGTTTTTAACCCTTTACTTTGTCCACTTTATGGTCCACCAAAGCTGCCAGGTCTTTTTCATATAGACTACCTTTGTCAATTTTAATCATTTTGTATTTGTATAGTTAATTTGAAAAACATAAATGTGGGACTTTGTCCTTGTTAGTTTCACACTTTTTCCTCATGGAACTTTTGAATCCTGATTTTTTTTTCAGTCTAGTTTATTAGTTATTCCCTTTGCTTCACATTGGCCTAACATTTATAGAGCATGCTCTCTGTTGCTTTATCTGAGATTTTGATAAAAACATTTGAGTGAATTAGACTAGGGATTTGTGACACATTGGATATTTCTTTCAGGGTGGACCTCAACATTCATACAACACTCTTTGTGCACATTGTTCGGTTACTACAAATCAACCTGTTACATTCTCATTCAGCCCCCCTGTCTCCTTGTCCACACGGAATATCCTAAAGAGATTTTGTTAAATGTGTTGTTGAAATCTAGGCACAGTTTATCCGCATTTGCCTTGTCTGGTTTTTTCACACCTCAAAGATTTCCAACTGTAGTTTAAAAAAAATCATATCTTCAAATTCCCTCAATTCTATATTGCAACTGCTATAGGTATTGAGACTTAAATTCATTTTACCTTCTTTTGTTTTCTCTTCCCCCATGTAAAATTCCTCAAGTGTTATTTTTGACTCTTTCCCCTTTCTCACCTCTCACATCCAGTCAGTTCCCAAGTCCTGTTATTCTACCTTCATAATTTCTTTAGATTGTTGCCCTCTGGTGTACTATAAAAGCCTGATAACTCATCTCCTTGTCTTTAGTATTTCCTACCTATCCATTCTGTATACTTATTATGCTCAGATATGAACATATCATTCCTGCTTATTGTTAAGTAAAGGAAAAGCTTTGGCCTAGCATGCAAAGCCCAAAACACTTTGCCACCTCCCCACTTTTTCTAGCCCTATTTCTTACTTTTACCTTCTGTACATACTCCATTTCAATCAAGCTAGGCTGCTATCTGTCCCTTACATAGTCTGATGCTTTCTTCTTTTTTTTTTAAATTAAATTTAGAAAAATAATTGCTAACATTTATATAGCCCTTACTTTTTTATCAGGCACTGTAGCAAATACGTTATAATTTTTATGTCATTTGATGCTCACAACAACACTGGGAGGTTGATGCTATTATTATCTCCATTTTACAGAGAAAACTGAGGCAAAACAGTAAAGTGACTTATCTAAAGGATATACAGCTAGTAAGTACCTGAGGCTGGATTTGAACTTCTCTGACTTCAAGCCTCACAATCTACCCACTGTGCCACCTAGCTGCCAAAACTCTTAAAACAAATATGTATAATCAAAGAAAACAAATTCCTTCATGGGGCATATTAAAAAAAATATGTCTCATCTTGTACCCTGAGTTTGTCGAGAGATGAATAGCATGCTTCATCTGTACTCAAAAATTGTTGGTCATTGTGCTGATTACTATTCTTGGCTTTTCATAATTTGTCTTTACAAAGTTGTTGTTTTAATATAAATTGTTCTCCTGGTTCTGCTGCAGATTTTTTTTCCTGATTTTTTTTCTGAATTGCCTCTTTCATCATTTCTTTTGGCACAGTAGTGTGCCATTATATCCATCTACCATAATTTGTTCAGCATTCCCCATTGATGGCTACCTCTTTAGTTTCCAGTTCTTTGCCATCAAAAAGAAATGAACTGCTATAAATATTTTTGTATATATGGATCCTTTTTTATCTTTATTTGATCTCTTTCTGTTAGAACTCTAGTAGTCAAAGGGTATGCGTAGTATAGTGAATTTTTGGTCATAATACCAGATCGCTTTCTAGAATGATTTGTGACTTTTTTCCCATGCCGTTTCCTTTGTCTGGACTACTCTTCCCCATCTTTGCCTTTTGAATCAATTCTGCCCATATGTCAAATGCTGTTTCTTTCATTAAGCCTTTCAGATTACTTAATCAGAAATAATCTTTGTTGTTTTTTCATATTGCTTAGGACCTCTTATATTCTGTGCAGTACTGCATGTTTGTCTATATATTTTATTCCATACTACTAAATTATAAGCTAGGGCAGGGATCATGTATTAAACTATCTTAGCCTTTCTTCTAGTGCGTAGCAAAGTGTTTGGCATGTAATAAATCATATTGAGTGAATTCTACAGAAATTAATTTAGAAAAACTAGGTGCTCTCTTAGAATCTTTTTACTAATCTTTGGCTTCAAGCCTTACTATGGAGAGACCTTAATCTTGGAGGACAGTCAGCCCTAAATCTATGTAATGATTTATTGAAAGTCTTCTCTTGATGTGTGCTGCTGCTTTTTTTTCCTTCCTAATTAAGTGCTCAGAACAAATTGGAAGGGCAAGAAAACTGTCTAGATGTAACTGCTAAACTATATAGAAGAGATACAGATCTTGCAGATACAGCATAGTAATTTGAATAACAGTAAAGATTCACTGTAATTTATACAATATAATATCCAGAAAAAAGGGCAGCAA